GACAGAGAGAGACAGAGAGACAGAAAGCCAGAAATCACCCCCCTGGGGGATGGCCACGCCGCAATCCCTCCTCCATTCTCCTCTCGGGATCTTGGGCACAAATGCGCATGCGCCCAATGTGAGTTTAAGCCACTGGGTCTGGGACTAGAACTGTGGTCGACTACATGGGAGTCCAGCAACATAGCCATTATGCCAACTGCTGGTCCCAATTAAATACCATAATTCTTTAAAAAAAAAAAAAAATAGATGTCTTAGGACTACCCTAAACTAGTCACCCCAGGGGACCACGCGGTGTCCTAAGAATCAGAATAGTGTGGGATTTTCCAATCTCCTAACGTGACCCCTTCCACTGCCAGGCGCCCAGTGAGGACTGTAAATTTTCCATCTGCTGCTTTGCGGGGTTTGCAGAGCAGGGAGGGGGTAGGGGAAGCTTCTCCTTCTCCACATCCCGCAGGATCTCATCTTCCATCAGCAGATACTCTGTTCCCTTGGTAAGTCAATACTTTAAAAATAATGACAATAACAATGCTGGAGGAACACTCAGGGTCACAGGGCGCACCCCTCCCAACCCGTCTGCCCAAGGCCACCTGGCAGCCGCCACCTGCAGCGACTCCTCCGCGTGATGCTCACCCAAAGGCTGCAGGTCCCCGGGCTCGGGTGCTGGGTGACAGCTGCGCTTCATGGCGGTCCCTGGCGGTCCCTGCATCCTCCAGAATCCCAGCGCGGACAGCGCACCCCTCGGCGGTCCTCTGCACGGCTCCAAGCGCACGCTGGTCGCGCGGGTGACGCTGTGTGTGCTTCCTCCACGCAGGTGCAGGGGACATGGGCGGCAAGCTGTCCGCGTCCGGCGGCGACTCCACGGCGCGGTCCGCGAGGACGGGGGACATTCACGCCGCCTACAAGCAGGGCCACCTGGCCAGGGCGCGCGACCTGCTAGGAGAGGCTTGCGTGGAGAGCGCCACCCAGGCGGAAAAGGTAGGGCAGAACCCCGCCAATCCTGGGGACCCCGGCTGGGAAGTTACCGCTCCGATTCTGTGTTTATGGACTTAATGCTATGAGTTTTTAAAATGATTTATTTTTAAAAGTTTCAGGTTAATTTCACATTTTACACCAAGTCCCCATCATGGGGTATGCAGTATGTATTTCTTTCAACAGAGAAGTTTAAATATTTGGCCTGTTAAATATTTAACACTTTGGGGCCACCAGATGGTGTAGCAGGTAAGTGACTGGACCCCCAGATGGCTGATCACAGTTCGAATCCTGGACCCAGTTGTTTGAAACTCATGCCAGAGGAGTGTGTGTGTGTGTGTGTGTGTGTGTGTGTGTGTGCGCGCGTGCATGCCCAAGATGCCAGGAGGAGAATGGAGGAGAAGGGATTGTAGTGTGGCCACCCATCAGCCCCTCCCCCTGGGATCTCTCACTGTCTCTGTCTCTCAGTCTCCCCTGCAGGCACACACACCCTAAGGCAAAAACCTCTAAAAGTTTTTTTTTTAACAATTTAACAATAATTGTTATTAATAATAACAATAATGGCTTAGCGATAATAATAATAATTGTTTAACAATACACAATTATTCCCATGTAATTATGATTCACATTTGTTATTCATCTCTATAGCACATAATATAGTTTCACAAAGTATATATGTAAGGGAGTGAGAATCAAGTCATGGATATTACCACATACGTCATTTTCAACAGGGAATTTTATTTATTTGGAGAGGTTTTTGCTGTAGGGTGCGTGCGCTCGTCAGAAAGACAGAGAGAGACAGAGAGACAGAAAGCGAGAAATCACCCACCAGGGGGGATGGCCACGCCGCAATCCCTTCTCCTCCATTCTCCTCTCAGGATCTTGGGCACGCATGCACACGCGCCCAGCGTGAGTTTAAGCCACCGGGTCCAGGACTTGAACCACGGTCAACTGCATGAGAGTCCAGTGACATAGCCATTATGCTAACTGCTGGCCCCATCAACAGAGAACTTTATAATCCTCTGTCAAATATCCGGTGCGTCCCGGACCTGGTGGCTTAAACTCACACCGGGTGCGTGTGTGTGCGTGCCCAAGATCCCGAGAGGAGAATGGAGGAGAAAGGATTGCGGCGTGGCCATCCCCCCTGGGGGGTGATTTCCTGCTTTCTGTCTCTCTGTCTCTCTCTGTCTTTCTGGCAAGTGCATGCACCCTATAACAAAAACCTCTCCAAAATAAAAAAAAATAAATAAAAAAAGAATTTTCTGTATTTTCTGTATGAGTATAAATTTTGCATGTCGCTTTCATGGCTGAGTGACAGGTCCTTCTGATAGAAAAACTGTAATTTATTGAGCTTATTCTCTTGGTTGGATATTTGGCTTGTTTCTAATTACTTACGAAGATCAATAATGCTATGTTAAGTGTTTTGGCCCAATGCTTTTTTTGTTGTGGTAAGTCTGGGTTTTTTTGTTTTGTCTTGTTTGTTTTGTTCTAATACAGATTTGTAGGACTCGAGAATATGGGTACCAGCGTTTGAAAGTTCAGAAACACATTCCAAACTTTTCCAAAACGTTACAAAGCACCCCTCCTGCCAACAACTCAGGACGGCTGTTGTCAGGTTGTCCATGTGGAAGATGTTTATCTCATGGACATCGCTCTGTTGAGATTGTGTGCGTGTGTGTGTGTGTGTGTGCGTGTCTGTGTGCGCGTGTGTGTGTTACATGGATTAGCATAGGTTTACACACGTCTCCATTTACTAACAATTAGAAATTATTTATTTTCCTTGGAGAGGTTTTTGCTACAGGGCACGTGCACTCGCCAGCCAGACAGAGAGAGACAGAGAGACAGAAAGCGAGAAATCACCCCCCAGGGGGGATGGCCACGCCGCAATCCCTTCTCCTCCATTCTCCTCTCGGGATCTTGGGCACGCACGCACACGCGCCCGGCGTGAGTTTAAGCCACCGGGTCCGGGACTCGAACCGTGATCGAGTACATGAGAGTCCAGCGACGTAGCCATTATGCCAGCTGCTGGTCCCAGAGATAATGTAATGTGTACATCTCCAGCCTGTTCTCACAAGCGTAAGAGGTTTGTGGTGCGAGGAGTATAATGTGCTGGGGATGATGGAGGAGAAGACTAAGTATGGATTCATGGCTGATGGGACCAAAGCCCACCCTTCCGTGGGGGAGAGCTGGGCTGCACCTGTGAGCAGGTCAGGGTGTGGTCTCCCAGGTGGACATCAGGTGACCTTCCCCAGGGGGACATCAGGTGACCTGCAGCAGGAAGGACCTGTGCGCAGCAACTTGAACCTGGAGCCTGTGCAGAGTAGCCAAGGAACCAGCGAGGGTGACTAATTTTACTGCCGTGAGTCACCCATCTAGCCTGGAGCGAGGATTCCAGCATGTGGCAGAGCAGGAAAAGCTGGGAAGGGGAAGAGGGGCAGGAATCAGAAGGGACAGGGACCGGGACTTCATCTGGAGGGTGAGAAGGCCACAGAAGGGGTGGACTGATATTTTAAGAGAGGTCATTGCTGATAAAGATTCGACAAAAGGAAAACAGAGCCCAAGGTGTGGATCTCTTCCGCCTGGCATTGTGCAAGTCAAAATCGAGAAGGTTCTTACAGGCTGCTTCCTCCGGCCCAGGACTGGGGAAATCCCGGCTGACTGGGCTTGGAGTTTCGTAAAATGGCAAGACTTTTTCTTTCTTTTTCTCTTTCTTTCTCTCTCTCTCTCTTTTTTTCAATATTTTGTTTTCACTTTGTTTCTTTCTTTCTTTATTTATTTATTTATTTTGGAGAGATTTTCACTGTAGGGCGCGTGCGCTCGCCAGACAGACAGAGAGAGACAGAGAGACAGAAAGCGAGAAATCACCCCCCAGGGGGGATGGTCATGCCGCAATCCCTTCTCCTCCATTCTCCTCTCGGGATCTTGGGCACGCACGCACACACGCCCGGCGTGAGTTGTAAGCCACCAGGTCCGGGACACGAACCGCGGTCGACTACGTGGGAGTCCAGCGACATAGCCATTACGCTAAGTGCTGGTTCCCTATTTATTTGTTTTAATTTGATCATAGAAGGACAGAGAGAGAGAGAGAGAAAGTGAGAAAACAAGAAGGCAGCCATGGGGGAGTCCAGTGCCCTTAAACACCACTCCACCTGCCAGCCCTTCTTCCTTCCTTCCTTCCTTCCCCTCTCTTTCTCTCTTTCTTTCTTCTTTCTTTCAGAGGTGTTTTGCCTTAAGACACATGTGCTCACAGGAGAGAGATAGACACAGTAGAGGGAAAGTGAGAAATCGCCCCCTAGTGGGAGGTGGCCACACCACAGTCCCTTCTTCATTCTCCTCCCAGGACCTTGGGCACAGGTGCGCACATACACACACACACACACAACACACACAGTGTGAGTTTCAAGCCACTGGGTCCAGGACTCGAACCGCAGTCAGTCATGTGGGAGTCCAGCGATATAATTGCTATGCTATCTGCTGGTCCCAAAACTTTGTTTCAAAAGCGATGCCATCCGTTAAGAATTAATGACAAAATAAGAAAGAATGTGGCGGGACCAGCAGATGGTGTAATGGTTACATCGCTGGACTCCCACATAGTCGACTGTGGTTCAAGTCCCGGACCCAGCGGCTTAAAACTCATACTGGATTCGTTTTTAAATTCTTGAAAATAAAATTGAAGTCGTACAGAATATGTTTTGTAGCTTCAATGGAATTGAACTGAAAATCAATTACAAAAAGGTAATCAAATCTCCATGCATTTGCAAATGAGCCACATACTTTTAAATAACCCATGAGCCAAAGAGAAAGTTTCCAGAGACATTTTAAAATAGATTGAACTAGGGGCCAGCAGGTGGGGTAGTCATTAAGGCACTGGACTCCCCCATGGTCGACCATGGTTCGACAGGTGCTCACAGCTTGAAACTCACGCCAGGTGCTTGTACGTGCATGCCCAAAATCTCAAGAGGAGACTGGAGGAAAAGGGATTGTGATGTGGCCATCCCCTTGGGGGGGGGGATTCTCTCGCTTTTCCTCTCTGTCTCTCTCTGTTTCTATGCCAAGTGCAGGCAGCCTAAGGCAAAAATCTTAAAAGGGACCAGCAGTTGTCGTAATGGCTATGTCCCTGGACTCTCATGTAGTCAACTGTGGTTTGAGTCCCAGACCCGGTGGCTTAAACGCATATGTGTGCGTGCCCAAAATCCCGAGAGGAGAATGGAGAAGGGATTGCGGCGTGGCCAACCTCCTGGGGGTTGATTTCTCGCTTTCTGTCTCTCTCTTTCCAGTGAGCACACGTGCCCTATAGCAAAAACCTCTCCAAAAAAAAAAAAAAAAAGAACACATTGAACTGAATGACAACGAAAGTACAACATATCAAAATTTACGTAATGTATGGGACCAGCGGAAAGCGTAATGGCTATGTCGCTGGAGTCCCATGTAGTCAACCGTGGTTCAAGTCCTGGACCCGGTGGTTTAAACTCACGCCGGGCGCGTGTCTGTGTGTGCCCAAGATCCCGAGAGGAGAATGGAGGAGAAGGGATTGCAGCATGGCCATCCCCCCTGGGGGGTGATTTCTCGCTTTCTGTCTCTCCGTCTCTGTCTCTCCAGCGAGCACACGCTCCCTACAGCAAAAACCTCTCAAAAGAAAAAAAATGTTTATGTAGTGGAACTAAAGCCATGTTGACAGGGAAATTTAGCACGATTTACGTTAGGAAAAAGAAGTCTCAAAACAGTAAGTTCTTACCTAAACACTCTAGAAAAAAGGCAAAATAAACTCAAAGCAGAAGAAAATATCGATATTTGATGAAATTTAAGGAAAAAATAGAAAAAATAGTGGAAGAAAAGTACAATTTTTTGAAAAGGTAAATAAAATTGACAGTTGATAAGAAAGACAAAGAGAAATGAGAAAAAAAATCACTATTAGCAGGAAGAAAATAGAGTATTACTCCAGATCCTTCAGAGCAGAGTGGAAACTCCCATACATCAGTAAATATAAAGGCACAACTTGAGTAATC